TCAGGGCCCGTTTTTGGCACAAGCTGGTTCCAAAAGGAGCCCTAAGGTTGAGAGTTCCGTGGCAGTCTATCTGGTCTTGGAGCAGTTGATGGGTTTTGATGCCCTGTGGGGTGTCGTTTCGGAGTTGGGGGTCTGATGGGCCCCGCGTCGGGTGCAGCTTTTGGGAGTAGCGGGTCTGATGGCCCTGGTTGGGCCACCAGCAAAAGGTTGATGCCATTTTTGTTTTTTCGAGAGGCAGCAAAAATGGCAAATCACAAGTAGGAGGGGGAGGCGGGGGGAGGGAGGAGGAGGAGGAGGAGGAGGAGGAGGAGGGGGAGGAGGAGGAGGCGGAGGAGGAGGCGGAGGAGGGGGAGACAAGGCAAGTCGTGCTCATGCTCCTTTTCCCTCCTACTGGGGGGTCGGCAGGTTGCGAGAAGCTTGATGGCAATGTTTCGCGTGCCATGGTCTAGAGGGGGAGATTAGGCAGACCCCGTAAGTAGCCTCCCCCGCGGTGGTACTCAACGCGCCCCTTCACATATCGGACACACGCTCCATTCAACACATCTCACTTAAAGTTGGGGCAGCGATGGCCCCCGCAAAATAACATTAAGCATGTGCGATCTGTGTGAGGGGTCTGCCGATATTGGATCAATGTGCAATGCTAAACACGCGTGCCGTAACCATTTTGGCTCAAACATCACTCGGCCTTGTTATTGCCCACGATGAGTTCGCCATCGGAGGCTTTCTTGTCCGATGAGGAGTGGGGGGTTCCCTCCATTCCGACTCCTGATGGCCGCCTGGCTGACGCTGCTGGAAGCGACGGCCCGCAGGCGGAGGAGGAGCAGGAGGATTGGCTGGCGGACAGCCCTCCTCGCTCCCCGAGCGCCGAGGTGGGCGGCGGCCAGGGGATCGTGCTGCGCCAGCCTGCCTCCGCGCGCGCCGTGGCAGGCCCGCTGGTGGAGGCCGCTGGCAGCGGCGGCGGCCGACGGCACTCGGTAGGCCCTCTGGCCAGCTTGGCACTGGTGATGGTCGAGAAGAGGTTCCCCGACGGCGGCGCCGTCACCTTGTCGAGCGCGCTCTCGGTGGGACAACGACTGGGCATACCGCGAGGACACTTCAGAGAACGCGTGTATGCTGTTGCTCACGCGACCTTCGTGGCCTCGCGAGAGCACGTGCTGTCCGTCATCGACCGCATGCTTGGCGCATGCAGGGCCTCTCGGGAGCAGCTCGGTAGTGCTGTCACCGCGCCATTGGTGTTCTTCCGAAAGCGCAAATACGATGGCACACGCATGAAGCTCACGACCACCGTGTCGCAGGTGTACGATGACGACGTCATCTGTGAGCACACGGTTGGCGCTCGCGAGGTTTTCGTCGCCAAGGGCCAGTTCGGCATGATGATGCGACGCAGGGCCGATGGTGGTGCTGCGGACTTCTTGCACGTGCATGGCACTGTGCCGACGCATCTTTGTGTGCTCGACGGCTCTTCTGCTGAGGTCGTGCACGCGGCTCTGCGCAGGCAATTGGATCTGCCTTGCGACGGCCCCCTCGACCTGATGGTCCCCAGGCAGGTGGACATCGCGTGCTGCGACGCTGCCAGTGGCAACCTCCGAAACGAGCGTGCCTTTGCAGAAGCGTTCCCTCGGAGGTCTCAGCTGACCTTGTTGTGTCGGGCACACAAGAAGAAGAAGGTCGCCGAGCAGGGGCTCATCGCGATCAGGCCATTCGACACGAACCTCGTTCGATGTCAAATGTCCTTGACGGGTGATCACCTTCTCTATCTGAGACACCAGGCCAGGTTGATCCATGGAGAGCAGCTCGTGGTCAGAGGAGGTGTACCCCCAGCGGCAGCCACCGCGCACCGCGACGCTATTTGGGACCTTTACTTTTGTGGTTCAAGTGACCCAATACTTGCGTATCGCAAGGAGGTTGTTTCAAGATTGTACAATGGAGATATTCGCAAGCATGGCGTCATTGAGCACTATTGCAGAGGATGTTGTCAATCGCCCAAGCACACTCTGTTCTTGATGAGGAGGTTTGGGGTCCCTGCGCTGTTCGGCAGGATTGACGTTCTAAACAGAGCCAACTGGGCTGACAAGATGCGCAGTCACCGATCCATTGGTGTGCCAGCGTCTGTCCATGGTATTCTGCAGGCAGCCTACTTGCGCGCGCTGCCAGGGAAGGCAGCCCGTGCGCCACGTGCTGTTGCTGCTGGGCCTGGTGGCGGCGCTCCTCCAGGGGATGCCGAGCAGCGTGCCGCTGGAGACGGCGGCGCCGACCCTGCTGGACCTCAGCCCTCGGCCGACGGCCCAGACGGCGGGGACCCAGCAGACCAGGACGACGTGAACGCCTTCAGGGAGCAGCACGACCAGCGAGTTGCTGGCAGCCGCGCCTGGATGCTCAGCGGCGCCGTCGCTGACGATATGGTCATCGGCTCGGTGCTGGCCGTGCGCACGGACTCCTACGTCACGCGGCAGTTGGCCTCCAGCGGCTCGGCATTCGATAAGCTGCAGCAGCACAAGGTGTCCCGCGGAGAGCCGAGGACATATCAAGCGTGGCTGGCTCATGAGGACGAGGACACCCATGAGTTGTTCAGAACATGCTACGAGTCAATCTTCAACGCAGCATCGTGGTCTCCATTGCAGGAGCATACGGAGGCGGTGTCGCTGAAGGTTTACCGTTTGATGTCAAGGATGGGCGGGGTCGCATACCATCTTGTGCACAGGGCCAATCGGAATTGGCCGATGCCGTTGCTGTATGCCCTCAAGGAGCCTGCACATTTGCACGCTCTCGGTGCGACCAAGCCCTGCCTTCTGGACCCGTACTCCCTGGATTTCGCGAAGTTCTACCATGGGCTTTTGGGCTCGCAGGAGGCAGCGAATGAACTGAAGGGCGTCCTGGTCATGGCCGACATGGACACCGCCGGCGTGGAACGGCTGCATTCGGTGAACCAGAGGAGTGCGCGCTTCAGGGTTTAGACACACGTCGAGACCGTCGCAGAGGCGAGTGCCCATTTCACGGCGCAGTCGGCAAGTGTTTTCGACGTCGATTCAGCACCTTGCCCGACCGACCTTCGGAGAGGCCCTGCCCCGAGGCGGAAGCGCCAGGCGCAGGACCCGCGACGCGGTCGCAACAGCCTCCAGCAGTGGATGTGGCGCGCATTCGTGCACGTGAACGGCATGTACATATCTGATGGGACTGCTGCAGAGTTGTCGGAGATGTATTCTCAGCTGGAGGGGCCTGAGCTTGATCAGTACAGGCTGCTGGCTGCCATTGCGAGGGATCGTCATCTGTCTGGGGAGCGTGGCTTTGACAGGCGTCGGAAGCCGAGGGTGTCCTCGGCGTCGGACGGCGCGCTAGCTCTCGGCATGGAGCCGAGCCGCCCTCGGAGCAAGCGTCCAGCAGCAGAGGGTGTCGCGCCGCAGGTATCTCAGTTCGCCAACGTTCGCTCGTCGATTCTGGAGGCTGCGGCGGCTGCTCGGGAGGAGGCCTCCCGCCGACGTCGCAGGGAGGGCTCGCAAGAGACCCGCGTGGCGGCCGCGGTGCGCGATGCTGCCCGCGCGTCCAGGCAGGCCAGCTTGGAGCGGGACGGCAGCCTGCTCGCGCTCGTGGATCGGGCCGCTGGCCCCGTCGCCGACGTCGAGGTCCAGGTCGATACGGGCGCGGTTCTCAGGTATCGCAGGCGCGCGCCGAACGTCGTTGCAGACGCCTGCCAGAGCTTTGGCGGCAGCAGCGGCGAGTCGGTGGATCAGCGAGCGTCGAGGTGGGAAGCCTTGCGCACGACTTTCACGAAGTCCAACGTGCCATGCCTGGGCAGAGTGGCCATCGACCGCAGGGTTTGCCACGAGGCGGAGACCTGCATCCACGAGGGCGACGGCATCGGGCTGCGGCTGATCGAGCGGCACGTCAAGTTCGTGTTCATTCTCCTTCGCAACTCGTTGCTTGGCAAGAAGGCCGCCAAGGCTCCCGCGCGCCTCCTTGGAGGCTTCATGCAATCATAGTAGCAGCAGCGTTCAACGAATGCCACAGATTCCTTGAAGGCTTAGGCCCTCAAGGACATCTCTTGGCCTTCGCTGGCGGTAGGGGGGGGGGGGGGAGGGGGTCGCATGCTGGGCCAGCCTTTGGGGACCTTCGGGAGGTCCCGCCCAGTGGGCCCCAGGGGCCAGGAACGAGCCTTTGCGTGCCTCGGAAGCCTTGCGATGTCCTCTTGGGGGCAGCAGACGAGGGGTGCCAGGGGGGTGGGCGATGACCTCAGGTGGCCAACTACGCTTGTGCGTTTCGGGGCCCTCTCACGGAGGCGTCGCCGTGCCAGCCCTTGGCGTCGTTGATCGCATTCGCGGCCTTCGAAGGCCGCTTCGAAGAAATGCGGATGAGGCCTCAGGGGGGTGCCAGATATAAGTTCGATTGGGCTTCGGGTTGTCTTAGGGAGCAGGGCAATGTGCCGCCGCATCTAGTCGGGGCCTCTTCGGGATCCCCACTGGCCCCCCTTTTGCTTCGAGGTCGCGCTATCGCCACGGTTCCTGCTTTGCAGCCTGTCTGGCAGAGGAAGGGGGGGTTGCTGTCGCAAACGTTCGCCGATCTCGCATGCAGGGGATGGGGCGGGGAGGTCGGCCCCCAGCGCCCCCGCGCCTGCAGCCCTGCGAGCCCCATCCCCGAATGTCCCCAGGAAGCCTTGATTTACAATCCAGCCTTTTGAAACAATCGACGGCCGCGTTTGTGAGGGACGTCAAGATCGCGATGGGGTTCCATCGCGATCTTGACGTGCCTCCGTTTCATGACTCAGGCCTTCGGTGGGTGTCGAGGGCCACCGTGGGGGCCTGCAAGGGGAGGGGCGCTGTGCTGCCGTGCAGGGTCTTTGGGCTTCGGAACAAGTTCACAGATGCAGATCCCTTGGTTTTGTAGGGGCCCTTATGGGGTTCAGAGGTTTCCTGGGGAGTTTTCTGGAGGGGCCCTCACGGGGCTCAGAGGTTTTTCGGCGGCAGCGCAGCTGTGGTTGCATGAAGCAGCCAGGGGGGGGCTCTCCGATGAAGGCACTGCTGGCCAGTGGCGACGGCGTGCTCCGCTTCACCAGCACCACGGCCATTCAAGAGGCCGAGGCAGATGCCGCGGGCGGCTCGGGGTTGGATGTCGTTGAGTGCGGTGCTGATGATGATGGAATCGTTCATCGTTTTTTTTCATGTCGCTTTCGATTTCCAGAAGCCTTTCTCGCCCACGGTGGTCGAGCTGGAGAGGGACCAGCCCAGGGACTGCGGTGACATCTTGGGGGTGTCACCGATTCGGGTCGAGGATCCGAAGATGTTCTGGCGATCCCGTTGGGAGATGACCAAGAGCTTCGAGGCGGAGCAGATCAGGACGATCAGCTTCTGGCGGTTCGTGTCTCGGTCCAGGCAGGTCGCCAGCGTGGAACCATGGAAGCTGTACATCAGCCGCCAGACTCCCGAGGTCGACCCGCCTCGGCCCAATGCTCGCCGACAGCGGCGCGCTGCAGGAGGGGGCCGCGCTGGGCGCCAGGGCCGCGGGCGCGGCGGGCGCGGCAGGGGCGGGGGCAGGGCTGCGGCGCTTGCCGATGGCGATGCGAGCAGCCAGTCTGGCTCCAGTTCGAGCTCGTCGAGCTCGCCGAGCTCTTCGAGCTCGTCGAGTTCGGACTCCGACGACCCCGCCGAGGGCAAGGACGGCGGCGCCGAGGCTTCGTCCGATCCGGACGAGGACCATGGCGAGACCACAGAGTCCGCTGAGGGCGACAGCGTTCCCGAGGACGCTGATAGTGACGGAGGCTGCGGCGAGGACGGTGATGCCCATCCCGCTGGCGGCGACGGCGGCGAAGGCGAGCACGACGGCGTCGCGGCCGACATCGACGGGGCGATAGCGGACGTCTTCTTCGGACCACCGTTGCCGCCGCCCCCAGTGCCGCCGCTTGCGGCGCCGCTTGAACCTCCACCTGCAGCGCTGGGCGGAGGAGTTGCGGGCGGCCCGAAGCATCTCGGCAATGTGCCCGCTGAGATTGCGGTTCGCCACCGCAGCGGCATCATTCGATTTTACGGCACGACGAGCACCATGGTGGCGCAGTGTTTGGTGCCATCACACCAGGGCGAGGCTTCTGGATGCTTCCTTACCCGAACATGCCGAGAGATGAAGAGCAACAGGGCGAAAGGCAGGTGCCTCGGCCTGATGCGCGCGTGGCTCGGCGTGACCGAGGAGACGGGGATCACACGATGGGACCACGTCCACACGTGGAAGCCTGACCACGCCGAGCGCAGGGATGCGCGGCGGGACGCGCTGGCCAGCGGGGAGCCGTCGTTCAGGGCCCTGGCCGAGAAGGAGAGGGGCGAGAACGACGGCGACGTGGATGGCGAGCCGATCCGCGACCCTTGAGAAAAAGGAATAGCGTGAGGCCCCTGATGGTACAATCGGGTCCTCATCAGGGTGCCGTGGGGCTTCCTCAGTGGTGTCTTGGGGCCTGCATGATATCTTGGGGGCATCTTGGGGTGCTTTGTGGCTTCCGCATGGGGCCAGCCGTAAGGTCTGTCTGGGTGTTTGTTTGGGGGCTGGCCTCGAGGCAGGCCGTGGGGCCTCATTGAAGTGTCGTCGGGCCTCCTTAAGGTGCCCATATGGTGCTCACGCAACGCGCGCTCATGCACTCACTCCCAGGCCCACTCGTGCTCAACCCACTCACGTTCAGACCCACTCGTGTTGTTTTCCGCACGTGGGTCGGATGCGCTCTGTCATATCACAATCGGGCCGCGCGTGTTCGCCCTGCGCGTCCATGAAAACGGCCATGGCCACCGCGATGTAGCAGGCTTGCAGCATGGTCCTAAGCTGACTGTTGTTAGAGGGTTGGCGGGCGGGGACAGGGTCGCACCCATGGCGGCTTCGACGAGGTGAGGGCGGTTAGCGCCTGGCGCGGGGGAAAGGGCAGAAGGTGCATTGCACGTTTCGTTGCCTCTCCCCACGCGCGGCCGCTGGTCGCTCCAAGCGCTTCCCACCCTCCACCTTGTCTTAGCTGCCCTTGTCCCCGTTCCGACGCGGCATTTCCCGTCGGGCCGCTTGCATGGCGAGGGTGATGGGGGAAAGCGGAGGGGTATGCTCACAAGAAGGAAGAAGGCTATAGCCATGTCGAACCCAGGAGGGTGCTAAGAACAGCGAGGCGTTAAGCATCCTCCTCATCAGCATGCCCATCACCCTCCCCCTCATCATCATCATTTCCTCCTCCCCCTCCTCCTGCATGGCTCATCCTAGCGGAGCCTGCGGGCATCCGATGGGGCACTGTTAGCCCCTTCTGGTGCGTGCACCAGGGCGCCCTGGCCACTGGGGCCCGCCAGGGCCCGACGCGCAACACCGCGCGCAGGAGCTATTGCGAACGCCGCTCGGTCGCGAGCCGATGGCGCTCGATAGAGGTTGCCTCCTTTAAATGAGGCGTTCGCCCATTGATGGTCGTCGTTGCAACGCTCTCTTCATCGCCCCCCTTGCTGGCGCGCGCGCCAGCTGCCCGAGCGACGCGCGCTGTCAAAGTCCAGGCGGCTGCTGCCCAATCGGTGCCAGCCGACGCGGCAACTGGCAGTTTTGCGCGCGGGGTCTTCTGCAGGGCGATGCTGTTCGTTGTTGCCGACGAGCGCGCGGGCGTTGAGCCCGCGCAGAGCGGCGCATCGCTCGACCATGTCAGCGCCGCAACGTGCGGGCGCCAACGGGGAGGCCAAGCACCCTCTATCGTCAACCTCTGCGGTTCGCCGAGGACGTCGCGGGGGTTACCTTCCAATGTGCCCAGCTTCAGACACGTTTTCAAGCAATGTGTCCCCCAACGGCATCCAAGCCCAACTCGCGCCCTGCGGCGTTTTCATCGCAGTTGGTGCCCTGTCCGTTGCTTGCGGCCAGGCGCATCGCCTTTTAGAGGCACAGGCGCGCAAACGTTCGAACCTGTTGCGTTCGATTCGTTTGCGCGCCCAAGCACTGCTTGAGAGCTTCGCGCGGCATTCGGGCTTGCGCTGTAGTTGCGCGTGTCGCATGTTGGTCAAGCGCGCCGCTCCCGAGCGCCACCGTCAATTTGTCGTTTGCGCTTGCCGCGTGCCGACGCCCCGCATTGGGCAACAGCGGGTAGCCAAACGGGTCCCGCGTTTTTTGTTCAAGCCATGCGGTTGGCACAGGAACGCGGAACGCGATTGGCAGTGTCCGTGCGAGGGAACGCGCTGCTATGTCGTTCAATCTACGGCGCGCAGGGTCAAGCCAGATATGGATTGCGCGGCTGCGCAGTTCAATGGCGCCCCAGCGCAGCGCGCTTACCCGACGCGTGCGTTTGCAGCCGCATCGGCGCATTTGGGCGCCATCGTGCCTCCATCCTGGCGCGTAGTTGCCCAAACTCTTACGGGTTCGGCCAATCGTGGCTTGTTCCCACACCCGTTGCCCACCGTTTGTTGCCGATCGGGGCGGCGGCGCGCTCGCCGCAGTCAGCGCGCGAATTCGGCGCAGGCCGCGCGCGCCATCCACGCGGCGGCCGCGACCTCATGAAAGCCACGCCGTGCTCTGACACGTCGATGCCTTTGTTGTCGCGCGTCCTCCTGCTCGCTACAGAGCTGTCCTTGTCTTGCCCATGCTAGATTGCGTTGCCTCGCCACGCGCCCCGTCCATGCGCCGCCCTTGCCACATTAAACTGCAATCGCGCCAGTTGTGCGGTCGGACATCGGCGCCATGGGCAACGCATGGGCCTACTTAGCGCCGCCCGCTGCCCCCTGTGGCAGCCGATGCCAGGACGAGTGGCGCAAGCGTCCTTGGCCGACCCTTGCGCAGTCAGCTTTGCCCCACGCAGAATGTCACGGCCGCGTTGGCCATGTTTGCCCGTGGCAATTGGCGCCGCGAGCGTTCGCGCTCGTGCGCGCAGGTAGCTTTGCGCGCATTCCGCAATGGTCGCGTGGGATCTGCGCGGGGCCTTCGCAACCCGTTGTGTTTCATGGGCGCCGCCGCACGTCGCGTTTGGCCCCACCATGTGCGCCTGGGCGGGAGTGGGGGGGCGGCGTGGGTGGGGTGGAGCGCGCGCGTGCTGGCAGGGTTGGGTTGATCGTGGGTGGAGCGCGGTGAAGAAGCGTGGCGCGCGCGGCGCGGGACGGGTGCGCGGTGGTCTTGCGCGTGGCGGCGGTGGCGGTTGGTGCGAGCTTGCGCTGCGCGAGCAGGCGGGCGCGCGCCCGCGGCGGGCGCTGGCGGGCGTGTCGGCGCGCGCGACAACACAATGCGATGGCTCGGCCGCGTCCTCTAAGCCGCGCGGGGGAGGGGGGCGGGCCGCGCGTCGCACTCAACGGGCAAAGCCAGTGGTTGACATGGCAAAGAAGAGCAAGCCAGAGCAGGGCCATGCGACTGACGGGAAGAAGAAGAGCCAGACGGCGGAGCATGTTGGCGGGACGTGGCAGATCTGCAATGCTGCTCGGCAAGCCTGCTGCGCGCGCGCCTCGCTGGCGTCAGATCTGCCACTCGCGCGCGGCGCAAGATAAGCATAATTACGGGGCAAGGGTGCGCAAGCTGGAGAAGGACACGGCGACCCACAAGAAAACGGAGCCAATAAGGACACTGCAACTACGAGCACGCCAGAGAGGGTGCAGACGACTGGCGGGCAGAAGAAGAACCATACGGCTGAGCACGCTTGCGGGAAGTGGCAGATTTGCGTTGCTGTTCTGCAAGGCTGCGGGGTGCGCGTTCTGTCGCAGCAGCAGGTCTGTCACGCGCACGCGCGGCGAAAAGACTGAGCATAGTAATAGCACGATGAATAAGGACAACCCAGAGAAGTGCCACGAGACCGACGGGAAGAAGAAGTGCAAGACGATTGTGCAGAACTGACGGGGCGCGGCAGATCTGCGCTGCTGCTCGGAAATTCGGCGCGCCAGCTGCGGCGCAGTAGAGGGCGCCGCGCGACAGTTGCGCGCTCTGTCGCCGACGAGGCCAATCGCGCGGAGCTGTGGAGGCCGATGTCGCAGACACGCGCGCGCGTGGTTCGCCAGTCTCCGACGGCGGTGCGGGCGACGCCGTCATTCACGAAAGGCGGTTCCTGCCGTCTGGCGTCGATTGGCAAGGGGCGCGCCGCTCGCGGCGCGCGTTGTCGACAGCAGCTCGCGCGGCAGTCTCGGTAAGGGAAGGCCGCGACGTGGCTGGCGCGGCGGCCGATGGGGGGTGGTGGGGTGCGTGGAAGCGTCATCGGCTTGAGGGCCTGGGTTCGTGCGCTCGCCGCCTCGTGCAATCGTGCCGCGCGCGAAACGGCATGGCCCCTTGCTCGGGGGCAGCGCCGCTTGTGCTTCCACCGCGCCATCTGGCGACTTATCGGTGTCTTGGCGCCGCCGAGGCGGGCGGGGCGCCGTGCGGGCGTCTCGTTGGCCTCTGTGTACACTGCAGACTTGGATTGGGTGGGAGGCGAGTGCGGCGGGGTGGGGTGTGGGGTGGGGGGGGGGGGGGGTGGCGGGCGCGGGGTGTGGGGGGTTGTTTGTTGGTTTGGTGTAGCGCGTCTTCGGGTGCAGGCGGCGCTCGCTCGGAGTCCAGCGGCGGCTCATCCGAGTTGCTCGTCGCCGCGCAATGCCAGCGCCCGCCCGAGCGCCGCCGCGCCGCGTGGGCCACTGGGCGGGGCGGCGCCCATCGGACCCGCACCGCGAGCTCGTCGCACCCGTCGCGCGCGCCATCGTACCCCCATCAAAAGTCATGCCCGAAAAGCGCCCAGGCCGACGCGGCCATCAGACCCCCATCAAAAGTCATCAACCGTCATCACCGAAAAGCTCCCAAGCGGGCACGGCCATCAGACCCTCATCAAAACCCATCACCCCCCTATCAAACCCCCATCAAAAGTCATCACCGTTTTCCTCCATCAAAAATCATCAAAAGTCATCAAAAGTCATCAAAAGTCATCAGAAGTCATCACCACACCGACGCACAGGGCATCACGGTGCATCAGAAGTCATCAAAAGTCATCACCGAAAAGCACCCAGGCGGACGCGGCCATCAGACCCCCATCAAAAGTCATCAAAAGTCATCACCGAAAAACTCACAGGCGAGCACGGCCATCAAACCCCCATCAGAACCCCATCAAAAGTCATCAGGCCCGCTAGTCGCTGCGCCACCCTCCCCCTGGCGGCCCATCGGCTGGGCGCCGCGAGCCCCCCCCCCTCCCCCATGGCCTTCACCCTGCACCCTCACCAGGGCGCCGCTCCCTCCCTTTCCCCAGCGCCACCGCGAGGCGCTCCTCCTCCCCTGCGAGCGTAGGGCCATCGTGGTGGCTGGGTGGTGGGCGGGTCGTGGCGGTTGCCGAAGGGGGGGGGGGGGGGCGGCGGGGGGGGGGGGGGGGGGGGGTGGTCTGGGGCGGAGGGGGTGGGGGGGGGCAAGGCGCTGCGCGTGCGACTCTGAGAAGCGGA